TCTCAGTTATGTGTGCCATTACTGTATTTAACACACACTTACTTACACACAAGTATGCACCCTGTAAGTATTGAGTGGTAATTGCTTAGAAATTACCACATAATTATGTTCTTGTTTCTCATTGGAACCCTACTATTACCACTCTATTACCAAGCTGTAGAAAAACCCCCAAAACAAAACAAACAAAGGCTCTGGTGGACTCACTATCATGTTTCATCTCTCAGACTCCTTAGCTCAGAGCTGATTGAACAGGTTTCCCCCGAACTTTACATTTAATATCATTGATTTTTTTTCTAACATGTGAGGACTGAAGTTTGGAGGGTGTTTTTAGAAGTCCCCCACCGAAAAACCCCCCTGATGGATGGCAGACATTACCATGAACTGACTGTGAATCAGGCAGGATAGGACCCAGATGCACACTTGCAGATAGGGCTTAAACTCAAAACACAGCTTTATTACTGAGATGGCAGAAATACAAAACTAACCTAAACTAAACACAGCCATGAGGGAGATCAGGGTGCTGGACACAGGAAACAGAGTGCTTAAATACACAAGGAATGACAAGGAACAGAAAACAAATGGGGAAACAAAGCCAAGGCAAATTAGACATAGCGAGACAGAAGAAGCAAAACTAAACACACTGAACATGTGACACAAGACTCACAATAAAAGAGGAAAAGATGTAATGCAAGACTGGCACATTTTGAAACCGAAGAGGGAAACAAGACACAAGGATGCACACAAATACACAGAGAAGGACACAGAGGACAGAGACACAAAGGGAACCCAAAGGTCAAGAAATTAAACTGATTACAAGTTAACTCAGAGACATAATAAAAATGAACTTACAACTAACCAGTTAAACTTAATATATAACAGACGACAAAACACAGAATGTCAAAATGCTGGGTCAACTGACCCAGAACCATGGCTTTCATGTCCAGCCTCCCGGGAGAGCAGGAAAGGTATCTTTTTTTATTTTATTTTTATAATTTGTCTTCCAGCATGAGGTAGAGAAACCCACACTTCCATCTTCAGTTTGCTTCTTATCTCTAGTCTTTGGATTATTTTCTCTTTTAAGTTAAGTTTTTTTTCTTCCATGTCTTGTATTAGTTTAACTTTATTTTTTGTGATTAGGTAATCAAAAAACCCTTTTCGTACACCTTCTTGTTGTCTTCCCTGTCTGTTCCCAAAGATAGAAATTATGTGATATACAGTGAATAATCTAAAAAATGGATATCATTTGATAAACTGATGCTGAGTCAGTCCTCCAGCTACAAATATCTTTCAATGTGTTTATAGATTAAACATGGCGATGTGCACAGATGACATAGATTGTAACAAGGTGAGTCACCATATAATTCTCATCTCATATCTGTTAACTGAGCTCCTGTCCTCAGCTTTTTGCAGTTAATATTAAATTAAAGCTAATTACTGTCTATTAGTAACTGACAGCATTACAAAAAAAAATTTAAATAAAGTTTGTTACAGTGATCTCAAGACTTTCCTTTAAATTATATATTTTTTCAGATTTACCCGGTGACTGAATATTCCATATCAAATCGCATCGCACTGCTGATCAATATTAGACATTTTTATGATCTGAAATCAAACCGACACGGTGCTGAGTATGACGCACAAGCCGTGCTCAACCTGCTCTATAATCTGGGCTATGCAGTGGTATATTACCAAGACCTGACTGCACAGGTAAATTCTACAGACAGAAAGCATTATTTCACTTCCACTTAGCTGATGTTCAAACTGAGTAAAACATCAAATTCATGTTCAACTTTTCTGTTTACAGGAGATTGATGAGGCTCTAATTCGTTTCTCCAAGCATCGAAAGCTCTTTAACACAGACAGTGTGTTTGTGGTTCTCATGTCTCATGGTGACTTGGGAACCATCCGTGGCTCTGACCTGAAGAACTTTGAAATTGATAAAATTTATGAGCGCTTAAACACAAAGAACTGTCCTGCACTAATGAACAAGCCAAAGGTCATAATCATTCAGGCCTGTAGAGGAGGTGATTATCAACTAGCCTGACATGCACCAAAAAGATGCTGAACATTACTCTTACACATGTTTTTATTATTATTATTACCAGTTATAGTTGTAGTAGTGATGTTATGAAATATTTTGTTTAGTTTGTCTCATTTAGGTCAGTGTCTCTTTTTAAAGAAACAAGAAAACCATGAACAAAATTAATTACAGGCAAAGAAAATCCAAAACTTTTGAAATCTTTAAAATAATTTGGAGAATGTAATAAAACTAATGGTTTACTAGATGTAATGATGTTAAATACACATGATGCAGTTTTTCTCACTTTTAGTATGACAACAGAGCACCTGAAGATGATCAGGAATAGCTGTTTGCACACATCTTTCTTGTTTCAGAGAATGAAGGAGTAGTTACAGTAGATGCAAGCAGACAATCCATGGGGACAGAAAACACTGGCCCTCCACCAAAAAACATTGCTAAAGTTGGAAAAGTACACATAGAAAAGGATTTCATTGGTTTTCATTCGAGCACACCTCGTAAGTTCTCCTGCTTCTTGTAACTATTATAATAATAGTGTATAATAACAAACACAATTAAATGCAGCAAATTATGTTTCTGTTTCTTTGTAGACACCTATTCATATAGAAACCCAGAATATGGTTCTAATTTCTTCCATTACATTTGTGATGTGATCCTCACGGGGTGCTGTCAAGATGATATTGAAGAACTATTCAAAAAAGTAAGTTTGCCAGTATTTTATCTGGTCATTAACCTGAATTTATTCCTAATTCTTTCTCTGCATGTTTAAGTTTTTCTCAATATTTTTGCATTTTCTTTCTGGCTACTATTACTAGTCCATTTCATACCAGGTTGATCTCCCATGCTCGTAGCTGGCAATGGGGCTAGAAATCTGTAATGCCCTTCATTTGTTGTGACCTGAAACAAGGCAAAACAAGAGATGATCCTCCTGTCTCTAAACATGATGGAAATAATGTCTCCATGTCTCTCTCTCTATGACTGCAATATATATTTTCTGTAATATGAGCTGCTGTGTCAGACATCACTGTAACTTCATTTTAATCTCAAAGGTCATGCAACAATTTGAAGATTTCCCCTCTGAACAGAAGCAGATGCCAACCAAAGAGAGAGACACTCTGACAAAACACTTCTACCTATTTCCAGGTAAGTACCACTGTCAGGTCTGTGCTTCGACAGGCCCGCAAATTCAGACTTATTCTGTGAAGAAAGCAAGTCAAAAACCGGTTTTTACATGCTAGCAAGGGGAGGATCTCAAAGTAGCATCTCTGCCCTCGGTCTCAGACCACTCCAAAAAGCCAGCTTCCCCTGCAACCATTTAGTCTGTGACACAGTTTACAC